ACCGGTGCCATAGACTGACTCGCGACCCCATCAATCACATGAAAGATTTTTGTCTTTCTGTCATCTTTTGCAAAAGTGGCACTAATTTCTGGAGATCTTATCAAACAATTTATTTGCATATTCTCTATAAGCGGTCAGATATGTGTATGTGTGCGGCACAGTTGTATGGGTGCCAGTGCTCTCAATTTCACTTCTGTTTTCATGTGAGGCCTTAAATATTTGTTTTCAATTTATACTGTACTTGAGATATGATTTCAAATGCCTTTCATTAGAGTTTAAACGAAAAGATGACAATTTGGAAAACTTGATAAAAATAACTAAATTAAAATGAATCATTATTAGAAAAAAAGATAAAAATACATTTTAAATTCAATTTAATTATTCATATCTGTCTCACAAATGAATGGATGCAATATTTCAATGATAAATTCACCATAATAAGTTTTGTCAGTAAAGATCAGTAAAGTGTATATTAATACTTGGAAAGATTTTCACGTATTTTTAATTGTTATTTAATAGGGTATAATATTTTTAAGACTACTGCATTAAAAGTATTCAGACAAATGATTTATAGAAATATCGCTACTTAAAATCATGGCAACAGTTGTAAGATTTTGTAATTACTTTAAATGCAAACAAAAATTCTTATAAACCTACAATTAATTTCCAAAATAGATTTATTTGCAAAACAAAGAATTGTCTCAAAATAAACTTAAATTAATTGCATTCATAGAATAAACAAAAGGAAACTTTTGCTAATAAATTAAAATGATTTTAATTATACATTTTATTTATGTATAATGTAATTTTACAGATTTTAACAAATTAAAGATATTTTTTAAAACGAAGTGAAGGGTCAGTTTAGTTATGTTGTATTTAAAAGTAAATTGAATGACATTTACTGATTAAAGCTCACGGTATGCTATTAACAAGCTTATTGAAAAAGTATACTCATATTAGGATATCTGGTTTTGAAGTGAAGGGTCAGTTTAGTTATGTTGTATTTAAAAGTAAATTGAATGACATTTACTGATTAAAGCTCACGGTATGCTATTAACAAGCTTATTGAAAAAATATACTCCCGTTAGGATATCTGGTTTTAATATTAAACATTTTTAATAATTAGTCGCAGGTTTTATGTGACACTTACTTAGATTAATGTTTGGACGGGTATATATACGCTAATCTATAAATTAATGTTTTATTTATATGTTTTGAATGTTATCTAATTTTAATTTCAAACACATATAACTTCTGAAAACATAAATTTCTTTGCGTTGCAGAGATTCCCTGAGAATTATTAAATATGATGTCATTTTAAATTTGAGTTGATTTCTGTATTAACATTCATTAAACAAAATCTACAAAACAGTATAATCAAGGCAAAGTCAAATAAAGAAAACAAAAACAAATTAAATAAGTTATAGAATTATATTTATATAAAAAGTATATTAAATTTATATGAGATCTGAATCGCAACTCATTAATTGTGATTTAGGGGTGCATTAAGTTTGCATTAATTTGTGTGCATATTATGTGCACAACAGGTGTTCAATTCATATAAAGAATTCAATATTTAATAAATAAAAAGGAAATTCTTTGTCAACTAATTAGGCAGAAAACTATTTGTTATCTGACTATCAATTTTTAGGGGAATCTCCGCCACAAACCTATTGCTCTCTACTCTTCAATCTCTTTAGTTTAAACCATAATTAAAATAATGAGAAAACTTTTTTATAATACATAATATATGATAGAAATATAAATTATGCATTGCATTGAACATAAATAAAGGCAATGAATGTTAGTTATGGTTTGAAACTAATCGGCTCATAGTCTTTGTTTTTTGTTACCATAAAACAATACTTTTTAAGAATTATTCTTTAGTTTATAATTTCTCTTTGATTAACAATTGTATTAATTATCTCTTTTATATATATTCACAAACAAATTAAGGCTAACTCGTAGGCATTGGCCGCACATTTCTATAGCCAAACAAATGATTGATTTGCGGAAACATTTGTTTGAAATTAGTTTTAAGTGAAACGCGAATTATTTTAAGAGTTCATAGTTTATCGGATTTATCGCACACTTTATAATAAGAGAAAAGTTTTTAAAATACTTTTATTAATTATAATCTATGAACAATTTTTTGTAAAATACTCATTCAATTGCTAATTAAATTGATTTGCTTGTGAGTTAAAGCACGCAATTGTGATCTAATTATCCCAAATAATCCTCAATTTTGTGCCTTAAATTAATTTTGATGATCACTCATACTATTAGTGATATTCTTATCAATGCATACCTTTTTCAGACAACTTTTTGCATAATATATAAATAATTTTAAATTAAGGGATTTACCAATAAATTTTCGCATATTTTTAATTAATTAATTCAAACACATTTTTTCTAAAAGTGTAAATTATGATTAAAAATAAACAAATTTGTTAACTAAAAATGAGAAATGTCCGTATTTTTGTTGTTGTGTTTAATACTTGAAAACAGTGCCAATAAATATAGTTTAACACATATTCTTGTTTTTCAATTTAATGGTCAGGCGTTTTTCCAAATAATTTATGTGTTTTCTAGATTTCTTTATTTGTTTCTCATATTCACTGTTTGTACAAAATAAATAAAATTGCACAAGATTCGCAATAACAATAAGTTATATAAAAAACAAATTAATTTCTACTTGTGTTAAATTAGTTCACAAAAAATAAAATAAATACAATTAAAAACAATTTTGCATATAATTTTGTACAAATAGTAATAAAATTATTAATCATGAATTGATTGTCAACAAATTGAGTCCGATATTGTTTGTATACTAATAATATACAAACAAATGCATACATAATGGCTAAAGAAAGTGATAGTAAATGAGTGATGAATTGCGTGCAGTATTGGTGTCTCACTGGAAGTGATGTTCAATTCGTGACTTATTTCGTATACCTAAAGTTGTGGGCATCCAAAGCCTATACAGTAGTAAGATTTTACGGCTTATAAACTTCGTAATACTCCTTAAAAAGCCATGTATTGACTCACAAACTGTTTTGCAAGTGGTGTACAGTGTATATGATATGAGGGGCCAAAGCGTTACATTGTATAGGAGGTGAGCGCGACGTGAAGGCACTCATCGGTATCTGGTATTAGAGAATGAATGCAATACTGACTGCAATAGTGAGTGCATAGGAGTGTAAGCATAAGTCTATTAAAAGAGTCAATTCTTACTATACCTTGAGTTGCATAAAGCGATTCCCACGGAGTCGGAAGTTTGACTCATTCCCAGGCTTTTAGTGTTGAAATGATAGCAATGATAGCCATCCACCCATCACTGCCACACAGCATACCACTCATCAAATGATACTTTTATTTACAAAATTAATAATTCAGATTAAATATTAGATTTGATTCTGTAATTCAAATCAAAATTAATAATAATTATCATTCAATTCCTATTCTTATATTGTCAATACATTGCATGAATACAGGGTATTATCAATGCTATGCCTACTCAATAAAATCGATGCAATTAATACAAATATCATTTGTTATATACAATAATTTGTTTATTTATAAATGTTTATCATAACTGTTTTTGTTATTGCAATTAAGTATTTAGTTAACCCAGTACATTATATCTGTGACGAGTATTTTTGCTAATTTTAATATTCATTGTGATAAATGAGCCATAGATAAGACTCGGAGGCGATTCCCTTCAAGTAATGCTCGTATGAATTGATGCTCTTATGCATTGAATCGATAAAAAATCGTGTTTTCGATTTGTATTCAGTCTTATTAAAGACATGGCTTTTTGATAAATTATTATTAATCACTACAATTGCTTTTAATATCAAATATTAGTTATTCAAATTGAAGGGTATATTCAAACACTTCGTGAGCAATACATAAGAATAAAAAGCTCGAAATACTGTGCATTTGAATGGAAACTGTGAAATATAAAGTTTGCGAAGAAATGGCAAATATTTGAAACATAAAATTACAGTAGAGATGACCCTTGGCTTTGATCATCAAATGATAACGTTGTCGACGTTGTAATAAATGGCTTTAAAATACACTTTTCTCAACTATTGTAGTGAATAATCATTTGATTTCATTACATGTCTGACGAAATAAGTTTTTCAAAACTGATGAAACACTTTATTAAGGGACTGAGCGCTCGGAAAAACTTTTTATATTTAGTTATAGCAGTGAATTGTTTGTCGAATACATATACTAAATGACATTATCTATGAAATTAAACTAATTTTTAAATAAGGAATAAATTATAGGAAGATATTATGATAACTGTGTGAAAGCATGTGAGCCGTGAGATCATGAGCTCATTTGTTTAATCTAATTCTTTATAAATTGTTTTTAATGTCCGATCGCCTCCTTTTATGGCCATCTCATCATAAATGATAACTAGAAATAACTGTTAAGACATTTAATTAACCTCTTATGGAGTGAAACACTGACATAACATGAACTCAACACAACACTCAGCATTAGGTAAATCTTGAGAACCACTATATAATCACTTTCTCGAGACTTACTTCTGCTGTGAAAACACTTTGCAAGAGGAAGTCCTATAATGAGTGTCACATCTTTCGAGACATGTGTTGATATTGACTCCTGTTTTACTGAATAACAACACAAACCTTAATATAGCAGTAAAAGTCATTATATAAGTTACTACCAGAATACAGGAGTTATGTAGTTTTAGTTAAGTATTTAATTTTTTTTTGAAACGACTATTAATAGATCAATCAATATTAATAATAAAACTGACGAATAAAATTACTTATAATTATTGATTAAATGTTTTATCACTATTTACATTTTAAAAAATTGTGCAATAAATTATTTTTAATTTAATTTATTCAATTTATTTTTATAAAATAAAAAATCTATAAAATAAATATAACCTTTTGACAAAAAACTATGCAATTGTAGAATTGTTGAGTGCAGTGAATGTGGACTACCAGTGCAAGTGAATGAATGCCCAGAATTCCATTGGAAGTGTTGACACTCGCAAAGGTTGGGTCGGTGTGTGTGTGGGATATCATTACACCTGTAATTCATTGAGAGTTTTTGGAAAATAATTTTCAAATAAAAAGCGACAGAAGCAGAAGCACTATATTCTCTATGATTTGCTTCCATAGCATATCATAAGGACTGCAATTTAACAATAGTAGAGTCAAAAGCCGTACAATAAATTCATGAAGTCTTATAACTTAGATTACCCGCGAATTAGTATTTGTCTCATTTCTGTGTGTATGTGTGTGTCTCTCAATGGTGTAGAAGCGATGGGAAAGGCTAGTATTGATATTCTCACGTGAAATTATGAGCCAGAATTTGTGGTGCGTGTAAACATTAACAGTATGTCTTACTATACGAACAATTACCCCAAAATACTCTCACTCAGTGAGCATATCAATGAGAATCACTGAATCACACCTAACATTAAAGGCCCATAAAAGCCAAATAACATATTCTTAACACAACATATCTATCACAGTCTCTCTCTCTCTCTCTCTCTCTCTCTCTCTCTCAAAATTCATTCTTAAATTAGTAACTATTAAATGTCACAATCATTTGCATATTTAAAAGCTTATTCTCTAATTAAGTTTATTTTAAACAATAATAATAATAGTAATGAAAAGCGGTAATTGTATTAAAAACAATTTTTTCTCTTTTTCTCTCATTTGTGATTACTTTGCTTCTGATTTAATAATTTAATTCTTATATTTGTCTGTATTTTATTGTTAAATAAGCGTAAAGTTTAGGCCAATAGTTAATTGCGTGTTGAGAGTGAAAATATTATGTGTATTATACAGTAAATCAAATACTACTGAATACTACCAGAGATGACCCCAGACTTAGGGATACCACAATTGCTCTGGTACAGTATTATACAGTATACTATACTATACATAAATATTTAGTCATCATTAAGGTATAAATTTGATGAAAATTATTCAGACTATATTGTCATCAAATTAGTATTTAATTTAATTTGGACTAAGTTGCAATAATAATAATACCCTTCTGGTCATTTAGGGGTAATTTTACTTAACTTTTTATAACTTAATAAATGACTCCTTTTCTGTTATAAACATTTCAAAAATAGGTTTTATAAGAAATTTATGCCAATTAACAATATTTTGAACTATTTAATTTTTAAAAATTGTCGTTAAAATAATAGGCAAAAAATTTAAGTATTACTAACTTATATAATTTAGTGTAGAATTTTTTAATTAGGGTATCAAAAGGGAAAATTTATTAAGAATTACAAAAGTTTGCATTTATAAAAGACTTTTGGGAAAAAGCAAATTAAATTAAACAACATTTGGTGGTAATTGTGATAAATACAGTTCATTGATTGCTGGCTTATATTTCAATTTATATTATTACAAGGAATTTTAATTCTCTCTGAGTTATTGATTTTGAAATTTAATTATTAATTTAAATCTAATGTTAATTGAAATGAACAGATCTCGAACTCATGTCTAAAACATATTAGTATTTTAAAAAATATATGTGGCACGGAGTCTACTATGCGATGGCTTACTGTTTCTTCAATCTATTGAGTCGACTACTGGACTGTCATTTATTTATGTTTATAATGATAGCCTATTATAGAGTACAGGCGGCCCTCATATCGGCTATCTATCAGAAAATGCTTAGACTTAGTGCGGCCTCCCGTCGGGAATATACGACTGGTAAGCGATAATTGGTTTATTGAAAAAGTTTGTAATTTAATAAAATGAAAGGTGATATCAATAACATAATGGGTGTCGATGTGACGGAGATATGTGACTTCTTCCGGTCGATGACCGCCTTATATGCCGTACCTATGAATCTAATGATTGGTGGATATATTCTGTGGCGACAATTGGGTCCGTCATCACTGACTTTATTTGTAATGATGGCAATCGTGGGTCCACTCAATACATTTATTATGAGAAAAATCAATGGCTTGCAAACTAAACAAATGGAATTGAAAGACAAACGTATGGAACAAATCAGTGAAGTATTGAATAACATTAAACTTCTGAAACTATTTGGTTGGGAGAAGCCGTTTATGGATAGAGTGTCAAAAACAAGACATCAAGAGTTACATACACTGAGAATTGCTAACTATTGGTGGTCTGCCATTGACGTGCTTTGGGTTGTCATCCCATTTATGATCGCCGGAATCACATTCACTGTTTATATGCTAACATCGGGTCAAGAATTTACAGCTAAAACAGCATTTGTTTCACTTTTTGTGTTAAACATATTAAGGTCTCCAATGGGAAGGTATGCAAAATATATTTGAAATTTGAAAGTAATGATAAAAACAGTTTTAATTATTAATTATTAAAGACTTCCCGATGCCTTAACCCACTTGACTCGAGCTATTGTCTCGTTTCGAAGAATTCGCAAATATTTAAGTTGTGAAGAATTGGAGGAAAGTGTGGAAAGGGATGAGAGAAGAGACGATTTAAGTGATGAGAGATATGCCGTTTGTTTGAAAAAGAGTTGCTTTTCGTGGGGTTTAGAAGAAGAGCCGATTCTAAAGGATATTACACTGAATGTGAAGAAGGGATCGTTGGTTGCGATCGTAGGAAGAGTGGGATCGGGAAAGTCGTCCCTATTTTCAGCCCTGATGGGCGATATGTACCAAATGGGAGGCTCGAGGAGTGCAATGAGGGGTTCGGTGTCTTATGTGCCACAATCGGCTTGG